CTTTTTAAGCACATTCCCGAGCCCTAATCCTCCCTCCTCTTTGCTTCTACCCACAACCCCCCACTTGATTAAATGGTCTTTTTTACCTTCTCTCGGTTCCCACAGAAAATCTCTCATCAATTTTTCCAACTTCTTCGCTTCCCTAGACGGTATCCTAAAGACAGAGAGATAATAGGTAGGTAGATTCATGGGGGTAGCTTTTATCAAAGTGATCCTCCCACCCAAAGAGGTATAACTTTTCTTCCAAACAGCTAGTCTCTTTTCTAACTTCTCCAAGACTGGGGTCCAGAACCTACTCTCCCTAGGGTTTGCTCCCAATGGAAGCCCTAAGTAAGACAAAGGCCAGGAGGAAATGGAGCACTCAAGAYAGCCTGTAATCGCCTCAACCTCCTCAAAAACTAAATTTACTCTGATTATGCATCTTTTTCCTAGATTGATTTTCAAATTAGAGACTCCTTCAAAAACTGTAATCAATTCTTTCAAAATTTCCACCTTCTCACCGAAACCTCCCTCACAGAAGATCATCAGTTATCTGCAAACTGAAGGCCCTCTGTCACCGTTTCGGACCATCTGGGTTTGAAAACTTTGATGAAGCTCTGTCGAGACTTAAACAATTGGGGACGGTGAAGGAGTACTAGAATGAGTTTGAGAGGTTGGCTTCTCGGGTATATGGATGACCTGAGTCAGTGTTGGTGGGAGCTTTCTTAGGGGGATTGAGGGATGAAATCCGGTATGAGGTGAAAGCCCTGCAACTGGTTACTATAAATGCAGTAGCTCACTTGGCCCGCCTGCATGAAGAGAGACTGAATAAACTCAGACGAGTGAGTAAACCAGCTCTGACCGGGCCAATCATCAAGACTTCCCTGACCAAAACTGAACCGGTTCCAGCCAAACCGGTTGGACTGAATGGTTTACCCCTCAAGTGTCTCTCCTGGGCGGAGATGCAGTCACGCCGCGAGCGTGGACTGTGCTATAACTGTGATGAAAAGTTCGGGCCCGGACATCGTTGCAAGAGACCCCAACTGTTCCTATTAGAACTGGAGGATCCCGACGAGGAGGGCCCCACAGTTGAAGAAGGAACCCTAGAAAATGAGGAAGAATCTATAGAGCAGGGACCGGAGATTTCCCTCCATGCCTTGACTGGCTCGTCATCACCTCGAACCATGAGGCTAAGTGCAGTGATCGGGGGCAGCCCAATGGCAATATTGGTGGATAGCGGGCACTCTCTAAACTTCATTTTAGAGGAGCTAGTTGACCAGCTCCATTTAGCGGTGGAACCTATACCGGTTTTCTTAGTCCATGTAGCTAACGAACACTGACTCAGTTGTGATGGGGTTTGTAAAGTCGTGGAAATCAAGGTGCAAGGGCACTTACTCCAAGCGAATCTCCACCCGTTGGAGTTAAGGGGGCCCGATGTGATTTTGGGCATCTAGTGGCTGCGATAATTGGGCCCGACTGACCATGACTTTCACCATAGAAGGGCAGAAATGCACTCTTCGAGGCCTCGACCCAGGGCCCCCATTGCAAGAAGAATTTGGCCTTACTATCAAGCCGAGGCCCCATTTCTCCCCACCGATCATTCTTTATTTGGGAGGAGGCCCAATGGGGCCCACACTCGACTACTCCTCTGGATCTGTAGGCCCAGGAAGAGATCTCATGGAATTATCCAGATTACTGCAGGCCTACCAGGATGTCTTCCAAGAACCCATGGACCTTCCCCCGAAACGGGATCAAGACCATAAGATTCCCATATTGCTCGGGGCGGGACCAGCCAATTTGAAGCCATACCGTTATCCACATTTCCAGAAGTCTGAAATTGAAAACATTGTAGCTGACCTGAAGAAGAGGGGACTGATACAGCCCAGTTCCAGACCATACTCCTCACCTGTCCTGCTGGTAAAAAGAAAGATGGCACATGGAGATTCTGTGTTGATTACCGGGCCTTGAACCGTATCACAGTAAAGGACAAATTTCCCATACCTGTGATTGACGAGCTGTTGGATGAGTTAGGAGCTGCAACAATGTTTTCCAAACTAGACTTGAGGGCCGGATACCACCAGATCCGGGTTCACCCGGAGGATGTGCAGAAGACGGCATTCCGGACTCATGACCGGCACTATGAATTCCTGGTTATGCCCTTCGGGCTGACCAACGCTCCATCCACTTTTCATGCTTTGATGAATGATATATTTTGGCACTACCTCAGGCGGTTCATTCTGGTATTTTTCGACGACATACTGGTTTATAGTGACAGTTGGGATGCCCATCTACAGCATCTGAAAACTACCATGGAGATCTTGAGGCAACATCAGCTCTAYGCCAAGAAAGACAAATGTCTGTTCGCCCAGACAGAGGTGCACTACCTCAGCCATATTGTCTCTCAAGGCTGGGTTAGAGCTGATCCTGAGAAAATTGCAGCTGTGGTTAACTGGCCCATTCCAGACTCCATACAGGCCCTTAGGGGGTTCTTGGGCCTAACCGATTACTACAGACGGTTCATAAAAAATTACGGCCTGATAGCGGGCCCCTTGACCCAACTGCTCAAAAAGAATGCTTTTAATTGGAATGACAAAGCCCAAGCTGCATTTCAGGACCTCAAACAGGCCTCCCCGCCCACTCTTGCTTTACCAGACTTCTCTAAAGAATTCGTAGTAGAATGTGATGCATCTAAGTCCGGAGTGGGAGCAGTCCTTATGCAACAAGGTAGACCCCTGGCCTACTTCAGTAAGGCGTTGTCTACCCAGGCCCAACTACAGTCCACCTATGATAAGGAACTGGTTGTTAGAGCAACCAGTGCACAGCCCAGCTCAGCAGAAGTGGTTGTATAAGCTATTGGGGTTTGACTACCGGGTAGAGTACAAGCCGGGTGTAGCAAACAAGGCGGCAGACGCTCTGTCCCGCAGCCAGGAGGTTTTCATGTTGGGTGAATCCCATCCCAACTTTTCTATCTGGGCCAGGCTCAAGGAAGAAGTCCACCTGGATGAAACCATACAGAAGGTCGTTCAGAAGCTTACAACAGATCCGACTTCAGCCCTAGGGTTCTACTTAGTGGGGCCAGATCTCTTCTTTAAAGGGCGCCTAGTGATTGCGGCCCAATCAAAGTTTCTCCCGGAGTTACTTCAATTATTTCATGGCTCTGCCTTGGGTGGCCATTCGGGAATACTCCGTACCTACCGTCGGGTAAGCCAGCATTTGTTTTGGTCAGTGATGAAGAAAGCCGTCCAGCAGTTTGTAGCTCAATGCACTACTTGCCAACGTTACAAATCTAACCATCAAACTCCAGCGGGATTGTTGCAACCTCTCCCGATTCCGGCTCAAGTATGGGAGGATATTACCATGGATTTCATCACGGGACTCCCAACTTCCATGGGTAAATCAGTAATTATGGTAGTGGTGGATAGGCTAACCAAATACAGTCATTTTATTGGGCTGATGCACCCATACACAACGGCCCAAGTGGCACACACCTTTGTCAATGAGGTGACCAGACTGCCTGGAACCCCACGATCCATTGTGACGGATAGGGACCCGGCTTTCATGAGCCGCCTCTGGACTGCATATTTTAAAGCCCAGGGGACTCAGTTGAACCACACCACCAGCTACCACCCACAAGCCAACGGACAGTCCGAAGTGGTTAACTGGTGCTCGGAGACTTATTTGAGATGCTTTACGGGGGAGAGGCCCAAACAGTGGATGAATTGGCTACCATGGGCCGAGCTGTGGTACAACACCACCTATCACTCCTCATTGGGAATGAGCCCATTTAAGGCATTGTATGGGAGGGAACGACCTCTTATACTTCCCTATGAAGTTGGGTCAACAGCAGTGGCAGAAGTGGAAGAAAAACTACAGCAGAGGGATGAGGTTTTGAGGTCCCTGAAGGAACATCTGAACTGGGCCCAGCAGCAAATGAAGGCCCAGTATGACAAAAAGCACAGGCCGGTAACCTAGCAGGAGGGGGAGTTTGTGTTCTTGAAGCTTCAGCCCTACCGCCAAGTATCAGTCGCCCAGCGGAAGTGGCCTAAATTTGCACCTCGKTTTTTTGGGCCCTTTCGTATAGTGGGCCGAGTAGGAGAGGTGGCCTACAGATTGGATCTTCCGCCATCTTCTCGCATCCACCCAGTCTTCCATGTTTCCCTACTAAAGAAGAGTACAGGACCCTACACGAATGCTAGCCCCACATTGCCTGAGTTCGATGAGGAGGGGTGCCTGCAGCCGAAGCCTATGGTGGTTCGAGATCTAAGGTGGGTTAAAAGGGGAAAGACGGTGCACAATCTCAAGGAGGATGGTCCTGGGAAGACATTGACAATCTCAAGAAGAGGTTTCCAGGCTTCAACCTTGAGGACAAGGTTGTTCTAAAGGAGGGGCGAGTTGTTGGGGCCCCAGCCCATGTGTGACCGAAGGCCCATACCCCTAACCAGCACGGGGACCAGCCCACAGTGCCTATGAAGGCCCACGAGGAGCACAGCATGCTGAAAGAAGACAAACAGCTGCCCATTCACTACATGTACACAAGGAAGACACGTCAGCCATGAATAGTCCCATGCACATGTCATGATTTCCTTGTACACTATAAATATCTGAGAATAAACGAGTAGGGCAGACCTGGCTTAATCCATTTCTTCTTCTTTTCTTAGTAGGAGGTTAGGTTTCCCTCGAAGAGACCTCTGCAGTGGGCAGTATCCCATCACATTCTTAGTATGCCTCAAATCTATTGTTTTTAGCCGGTTGTGTCTAAATCTATTTTAATTCCAATTGTAGGTGTTGGAGCAGCTTAGTGGGCAGACCCCCATTTTCTCAAAGGGTAAGTTCAATGCAGTCTTCCTTGAATATGCCCTGTTTATTACCATTAACAAACACTCTTGTCTCTATGTCTGTGATTTTGTTCTTGTTTCGGCTGATGAGTTGATGCCTTGAAAGCTAGGTACACCATTCGGTCTTTTGGTATAAGATGCAATGAGAAGATTCCATGCTACATCAGAGTCAAGGGTTAGAAGGCGATGCAACTTCTGGAGAGTGATACTGGATACTTTGGTTTCAGTATTCAGGAGCATATTGATTTGGGTATCAAGTAAGCGGAAGTTCCATCCCTTTCCCATTAATTTTTGCTGTTCTTTTCCTCTGCTGATTAACATGAACTTGAACTAAATGTGCACCGCTTTTGGCTGTGTGTTGATTTTTTTATTAGTGGTGATTTAATTGTTGATCTGTAGATTGTGGGCTATGGTTCTGTCTCATATGATATCTGAATTGGTTTTGGATATATTGGTGAACTTCATAAACTTTTCAATCACTGACTAGAGAGCACAAGTATTTTATATGAACCTTGATTAGGGAAAGAAGACATTCTTATTGCTTTTTTTTTTTTGTAAGCACATTCTTATTTCTTAATGGTGAGGTGATACAGAATCTATTTGTTTATTTTTATATAATAAAAACTTCAGAAGGGTTCGTTGCCTTTTCAAGTGATTGTTCCTTTGGCGCCTGCTATCATGCATGGTCTTGGAGATTAATGGTGCCTAATAATGAAGTCTAGCAATTATTTGCTGTTGAATCTTTCTTTTTTTCTCCACTCTTACTGTCTCAGTGATGCTCATATTTGTCCAATGGAATGCTTCTTTCTTTGAGCGTTCCCCATTGAGATGTTTGTAAATATGGTCTGCTATCTTTTCCTTTATGAAGTTGAACTTCAGAAAAGGAACTTCTATCGGGGCTAATTGACCACTACATTCTAATTGTGGCAAGCTTTTTTGATGAATTTAGTTGTGGCAAATTCATATTTCTTAGTTCAAAACTTCAAAATGCTTGTGGTGGTTAGTTCCTATGGTAGGAGATTGGCTTATCTACATGTCATTTTTGCTTTTCATTTTTTCTATTATACTCATGTCAAGTGGGGGCAATTTTGTGATGGAAGTGGCATGACTTATATTAAGTTATTAAGATTATATACTTCGGATTCTTTATGTTTTTGTATTTTTTAGGGCATATTTCTTAAAGTACCCCTAAGGTTTAGGAAATTGACTAACTCTACCCTTCCTGTTTACATATTGTCTTAAAGTACCCTTAAGTTTTCTGACAATTGTCATTATTGTTAAATCCTAACAGAAATGATGAAATGTCAGTTATACTCTTCTGTTAAAATTGGCAATAAAGACATGCAATTACTGTTCGAGGAGAGGAGAAACTCCATTACCGCTGCAACTTTCAACTGGCAGTGTGACTGTGAAGAAGATAGACGGAGATGGTGAAATGCCATTTTATTTGGTTTGTTTCAAGGGAATGCGAGGAGGTTTGGCAGAAAAATGAAAAAGAGGAATGAAGTTAAAAGTAGGAGAGAATAAATAGATGGAGACGGGTCCAAAATATGGATGCCACCGCTGGCGTCAGAGACAGGATTTCCTTTCAGCAATGGGAGGTATAGAGTCACGGAGATGAGGGGCCCTCATTACACTCTTTTGAGCCAAAATGTTCTTCAGGATATTTTTGAATGTATGGGAGATTCTGTTGATGGGTCGGAGTTCGCTGGAGGCTCACACAGTTTGATGCCAAAAGCTTTTATCGAAGTATATGTTGGTACAGAAGACTGGGCTGAACATTTGATTCGTGGAGGACCATCTGCTTTCAAAAAATATGTGGAGGAATGCAAAAATCTGGGGTTTGAGACAATTGAGCTAAATGCAGGGTCACTTACCCTTCCTGAAGAAACTTTCTTGAGATTTGTGCGCCTGATTAAAAGTGGTGGATTGAAAGCAAAACCTCAATTTGCAGTGAAGTTCAACAAGTCTGACATCCCAGTAGCTGGTGATATAGCATATGGGGCATATATAGCTCCAGTTCCTTGAACATCTGAAATTGTTGAGGATGTAGACTTGCTAATCAGAAGGGCTGAGAGGTGCTTGGAAGCCGGAGCAGATATGCTGATTTGCCTAGGACTTGAAAAGACCATGTTCTTGCACAGGGTTATCCTTCTCTAAACAATTTTCTCTCACGCTCAGCTCCTGCGATTGCAGGGCTTCGATTATTCGTTCCTTTCCTTCTCTTTCATTCTTTTGGAGCCCTCGATCGAATCTAGTGTAATATCATTAAATTACATCTTATGCAAAATATTCTTATAACCTCCAGATACAGGGCATGTTCGATCACTGATCTCTCATCTTGTTCCAGATTCTTAACCGGGAATCTTCCAGGAGAGTTGGGAACTCAAGGGTTTATTCTTGTTTTGCTTTGGGTTTCTTTTCTGCTTGTTTGGGAGATAATTTTTGGTTTCTAGTTCAAGGATTCTGGTCGTTTTGGGCACTTGGTATTCACAGATCTCTGAGTTTCAGAGATTTGTGGAAGCTAATTCGCAGTTAAGTGCGCTTGTCAAAATGTTTTGGTGTATGGAGGGATTATCCGCCACATCTCCTGTGAGTTGGCATGTTGACAGAATTTCCTCCTATTGCTACAGGTTGGAGTTTCTCTTCTCCTCGATGAATATCCCTTTGAGAGTGAATCAATGAATTATTTGTTTTTTACCACAAAAGGGTATTCTAAGAATTTTTGAAAAATATATCAGACACGTGATGTCAAATGTGAACCGAGTGTGGTGGAAAGCTAATGGCAAGGGTGTTTTAGACAATTGTCAGAAAATTTAGGGGTACTTTTAAGACTATATAAACAGTAAGAGTAGAGTTGGTGGATTTTCTAAACCTTAGGGGTACTTTAAGAAATTTGCCCTTTTTTAAAAATACACAAGGCATAATATTGTAAGGAATTCTTTGTGTCTTGGAACTCTCAAATCTCCTGGGCCCGATGGTCTGAAGTGAACCCCTTGTTCTCTCAACCAAGCTATCACTGTATTAAAGAAGTTTCGAGAGGAACAAATAGCACAAATCTGGTCCTGATACCCAAGAAGCCGCCTGAAACAAGGATTTCAGGCCGATATTGTACAAGATTGTTGCAGAATTTCTTTCCACCTGACTCTTCCCTTCACTCGCTTCGCCATTATTTCTAGCTGGCAGGCAAATTATGTGAGTGGCATCATTACCCAAGAGTGGGGTGAGCAAGAAAAACTGAAAAATTGAATGGAAAATTCAGATAATCGAATCAACCGCTATTACATATATTTTTATATATTTCATGTATATTTATGTGTATTATATATATTTTATATATTATAAATTAATAAATATGCATAATGTATAAATATATATTTGTAATATAAAATATATTATCTATTATTTAAAATATAATATTTTATATATATCTAGTTTTTTATTATATATTCATATATTTTTATAATATATATTATAAATATAAAAAACCAAAAAATTGACAAATCGAACCTGTCAATAGGTTAACTGATCGGCTTTGGTTCAGTTTGGGTTAACTGGTTTTTTAGAAACCAGTAACTAGTAATACTAGTTCTGTAACATCTGTTTCAAAAATAGGCCCATGGTTCGGTTTATTGAACTATGAGCACCCCTACCTAAGACTATATGTACCGGTAAGACAATCATTTTCTACAACATGAATGTTTTTTGTTTTCATTTGTTTTTGGAATTGTCACATCAGCATAAAGACAAGCATGTTCTTGAACTATGTTTTGTTTTCAAAAGGAAAAACAATTTGGTTTGCTTATGCTTTAAAAAACAATACATGTTTTTGGAATCAACAAAACATTGGTTTTTAAAACAAAAATAAATTTTTTAGTATAGAAATCATATGATTTCATGCAACACGAAGTTGAATAATTAGATGGAAATATGTTTTTGAAACCAGATTCAAGAACATGTTTTTGGTTTTAGTTTTGAAAAAAGAAAACAAACAGAACTGAGAATGGGTTTTTTGTGTTTTTGTCTTGAAACAATCTATTTTCAAATCGCATGCCTTTGATTTCATTTTAGAACTGGTAACAAAATAAACAATTCACGTTCCCCCTTAGGTTTGGTCCCTGAATAGGTTTTTACTTTTTATTGTCTCACGTGATCCTTGTAAAAGCCTATTGGCTTTAAAGCATGGTTCATTTAATTGTAATGGGGTGATGGGATAGAGCGTTAGATCACTTGCTATCTCAAGGAATCCTTCAAAGCTTAGGCTGTTGCGATATTCCTAAATAGGTTTTTATTCTTTAAAAAGCTTTGCCTATGAGTCTTAGAAAACGTCACAAAAACTTTGCAATATGATTTCAGATGGGCAATTACATTGCCTTCAACTTCAAGGCTCCATTTGCTTTTCAGTAGCTTACTTATCTAGGTAAATGCATTTACCTAGGTAAGTATTTCTCAGGAAACACTTATCGAGGTAAGTGTATTTATTCATGTTCTTTTATTCCTCAAATAAATAAGACAATAACCGTTTTAACCATAAAAAAAATCAATTATTAAAAGGGGCCCATTTCTACCATCTTATCCATGTAGAGATGACCCAAATATATTATTTGGTTTCATGCCCCTGCTAAAAGGCATGGGAGCATGAACTCGATAAAGGGGTTAGCTCATAAGTTTGTTACTCTATCGGCTTAATTGTTCACATTCTTTTCGCCTTGTCGCCCATGCATCATTAGAGGAGGATAATTTCCTTTTATCATGCTAAATGATTATGCACCGTTTAGGCCAATAGTTTATATTCTTATTTACCTTATTGTTTGCATTATAATATGCTATGTAGAATTGTACTTGGGCGATTAGGACTTAGGGTCCGTTTGGTTTGTAGGAATAGGGGTCTGGAATCGGAATCGGAATGGGCTATTCCGATTCTAACTGTTTGGTTGGGCGGAATCGGAATCTCATTCCCATTCCTGCTGGAATGCCATTTCCCCATTTGAGGGAATGGCCATTCCCTGCCCCTCCCTTGGGAATGGAATCCCATTTATGTTGATTTTAATTCTCATTCCCATTCCTGTCTGAACCAAACAGACTATGGGAATGGACCATTCCGATTCCGGAAGATTTCGATTCCGATTCCGACTACGAACCAAACGGACCCTTAGTATTTTCTAAGGACCGATGAGGAATACAATGCCTTATTTCCCTAGACTTTCCTAGTGGGTTTTGATCAACAATTGAGGTATTCCCTACTTTATTTTACAAGCTTGTTGTTTATTTGCATAAAAACTATTTCAAGGTATGAGAGAATGAAATAGAGGATGGGGCTTCGGCCCTAAGCGGGTGTGATGCTTAACCCCTTCCACACTTATACCTTAATCCCTTACCTAGGCTAGTTAGACCTCATTGCTTTCGAGCCACATAGGGAATATTGAAACTTAAACTTTATTTTTTTCTTAAGACAAATGATTTTGAAATTCCTTCACTTCTTACTTTCTACCTCTTTTTCCTGATTTTTGAGTAAAAATTAGGTGGCGACTCCTCAACACACCCAAACTTCTCTATTGTGGCTTTGTGCCCATAGGCCAGCCTCCACATAGATATACCACTCATTTTAATAATAGGAAAAGGTCCACACATATAATAATTAATAATATAAAACTTCTTTTATTATTAGGATAAATAGTGGTTCTACATTGTTTCAAATACTGACAAACTTCACATTGGAGATCAAATATAAAGACAAATTTGGAAAAAAAAAGAAATAAGACTTAATGACACAATCTAGAATGCCACAAATATATATTAGACTTATCTAGGTTCTAACTACAAGACTACAATGTAACGACTGAAAGGAAGAAACCAAGAAGTAGAGGCCACTAGCTTCATGTCCAATCACCATCCCTCCTGAAAAAAACGTAGAAATTAGGAAAGTGATATAACTAATAGAAAGTAAGTTTGTGGTTAAGTTGGGAACATGAAGAACAAAGGTTGGAGCAAGATTAGAGTCCAAAATGAATGTCATCCATCCTTGGAGATGGAAGAAAGTGATCCACCTACAACTCTAAACTTGTCCTTTATGGATAAAGGTTGATAAGTGGAAAATAATCTTGTCCTTATTGGATTCGGCATACCAATCATGTGATAGGAAGCTCCTGAAATGGTTGCATACCAGATTGTAGAGGAGTCTTGAGCCCTTTCAAGAAAGGAATCCTTCTTCAAAATCTAGAAATACTACTATTACTCTAATACCATATTAGTATTTCAGATGTGATATTGAATGGAGAAAAAATAAAAAGAACAAAATGAGGGGAAAGATGAAAAAGAAAAAAAAGAAGAGAAGGAAGAAAATGGAATGAGACGTGAATATAGTGATATTACCTTATGATCTTTCCCCTCTTTATTTATACTTATGTGTTTAGATGCATTCAAATTACAAAATTGCCTCTCACTGCTAGCAGTGAAAATCTAAGTATTCTTATAGGATGGAACCAATTAAAAGGTTATTAGAAATTTTTGGTCGAATGAGATCTTTCAAGTTTCCTATCTCTTAAAGAAGGGAACCTAAAGGTTGATTATTAGAAAAGTAGAGTGGTTAAGCTGCTCAAATTACCTAAAGATGCAGGGATGGAACGACTGAGGTTATTACTGCACAATGCTAAACAAAAGAGATGTTCCAAATTTCCTATCTTTTAGGCTATGTTTGGTTTGAAGGAAAAAGTAGGGAAAAAAAAGGAAAGGGAGGGAAACCTTTTACAAACATTGTATAGATTTCCCTACCCTTCCTTTCCTTTCCCTACCTTTTCCTTCAAACCAAACATGGCCTTAAGGAATGAGACTAGACAGCTTATTATTAGAAAGGTAAAGAGTGGTTTAGTTGCTCAGATTACCCAAAGATGTAGGGATAAAACCACTGAGGTTATTAGTATACAGTGCTAAATGAATGAGATGTGTCGAATTTCCTATCTCTTGAGCAATGAGACCTGAAAGTTGATTATCAAAAAGGTAGAGAGTGGTTAGGCTACTTACATTACCTAGTGATGCAGGAATGGAACCACTGAGGTTATTAAAAGACAATTTTAAATCAACGAGATGTATCAAATTTTCTCTCTCTTGAGGAATGGAACCTGAAATTGATTTTCAAAAAGGGCCAAGGCCTGGGAGGATGAGAAGTCGAAGTTGTGAAGCGTACCTTGCAATCCCATACTCGATAGCCTTATCTCCCTAACTCTTCCAGCTGGATTGCAATAATTCCAACCCAATTGCAATGGTCATATGGACAATAAGAATTTGTGGAATTATTACCAGTAGGAACT